AAACTTCTTACCTCACTTACACTTTTAGGTGTAGGCCAATCCCTTATAGCCTTTACCTTTTCCTCATCAACCTCAACACCTTTAGATGAAACTACAAAACCAAGAAAGTTAACTTTTTCCATACAAAAGCTACATTTCTTTAAGTTTGCATACAAACACTCCTTTTTTAAAGTATTCAAAACAGAACGTACATGCTCAACATGCTCATTTAATGACTTAGAGTAAACAAGAATATCATCAAAATATACAACCACAAACTTCCCTAAGTATTCACGCAAGACATGATTCATTAACCTCATGAATGTACTAGGTGCATTAGTCAATCCAAAAGGCATAACTAACCATTCATAAAGACCATACTTAGTTTTGAAAGCAGTTTTCCATTCATCCCCAATATGCATGCGAATTTGATGATAACCCGATTTCAAATCAATCTTAGTAAAGAGACTACATCCATGCMACTCATCAAGCATATCATCTAATCTAGGAATTGGATGCCTATACTTAATAGTTATCTTRTTTATAGCCCTACAATCAACACACATACGCCATGACCCATCTTTCTTAGGTACAAGAATAACCGGAACAGAACATGGACTCAAACTCTCGCGTACATACCCTTTGGCAAGGAGGTCATTCACTTGCCTTTGTATCTCTTCGACCTCGCTAGGATTAGTCCTATAAGCTGGACGGTTTGGAATGGTTGCTCCCGGAATGAAGTCAATCTTGTGCTCGATCCCCCTAAGTGGTGGCAATCCACTTGGCATCTCCTTGGGAAATAATTCCTCAAATTCCTGCAAAAGGGCAACAAAAACGCTAGGCAAAGAAGGGTTAAGCTCGTTAGTAAGGAAACAAGATCCTTTGTACAGAAGTACAAGGATATTTCGTTTTACAATCAAAGCATTCCTAACCTCACCCATTCTAGCACACAAGCTCACACATTTGGCTTTTCTCTCATTTTTCTCACTAGGTCGATTGCTACTTTCTTGCTTTTCACTCAAACTCTTTTTTTCTCTCAATTCTTTTTCTTTCATTTCTTTTGCTTTTGCATCGACCTCTTGCCTTTTCGTTTCAAGTTTACATTGGTCAACATATACATCTTTTGGAGACAAAGGTACAAGAGTAGTTTTCCTACCATTATGAGTAAAATGATAACGATTAGCATATCCATCATACATTACCCGACGATCAAATTGCCACGGTCTCCCTAACAAAATATCTCCGGCATGCATTGAGACAACATCACACAAAACATCATCAGCATACTTTCCAATGGTAAAAGAAACAAGAACTTGCTTATTCACCCTTACCTCCCCACAATCACTCAACCATTGAAGCTTATGCGGTCTAGGATGTGGTTTAGTCTCTAAATTAAGTCTCTTGACCAGAATTGAACTCACAACATTGGTGCAACTACCGCTGTCGATCACCATACTACAAGGTACAGATTGAACAAGGCACCTAGTGTGAAATAAATTCTCTCTTTGGTCTAAGCTATCCTCCTTAACTTGGGTGCTTAAAGCTCTCCTAGTGACTAAGGACATATGTGTAAGGTCCTCTTCACTATACTCCTCACTATCACAATCCTCATTTTCTTTCTCTATTACCTCATCTTCCTCCTCATCGTCCGTCACCAACTCTCCCTCCCTAAGGACCATAGTTCTCCTATTAGGG